CACTTTTAGCTCACGCTTGTTTGTGGTAGTGCCCACCTCTGTTCATGACCAACCGAAACCGACTAACCAATGACTTACATTCCGACGTGCTGGTTGCATTCGAGCGATGTTCTACGAAACAGGCTCTCTCTGCTAATACTGGCGCATCTTTCTTCCATTTTTTGTGAGTTTTTTTTTTCTTTTTCTTTATATAAACGCCGTCCGACCGGCAATCAAAGCGATAAAGAAGCAAACGCAGCACAGCAGGCGGTAAGGCAATTTTCGATCGGTTGGTAGATAAATTAACACTAAAAAGTTATACAGCAAAAAATAAAATAAAAACTAAAAACAAAAAACACGCGAAGTAAAGAGGTAATCAAATCGAGTGGTGAAGATGGAGTGCATAAGCAATCGTTGCGATGACAATGGTGTCGCACTGCCCAAAATAACATTGCATTGCATGAAAATAAGGTTCCATATAAAAACGGCTAAAGAAACAAATCAGGAACAAAAGCTTAATCATTTTTCAAGAATAAAATACCTTTAAGTTTCTTTACTAAAATATATGTACATAGATACGAATAACGAGTTTTCGGTTTAATGAATCATCAAAATTATCTCATTGTGGGTCTTCACACCGAGTTCGGTACTCGGTAACGCGGTGTTCGGTAATTGTTTCTAATGTATTTTGTTTGTGTAAAATAGTGTTATACAAAAATATTGTTACACAAACAAAATACATGCGAAAAAAATTACCGAACACCGAGTTACCGAGTACCAAAATTAATAACAAAAAATTTTAAAGCAAAAATCATTGAAAGAGTTCAAGTCTATATAGATGTTTTTATTATTGAGTATAAATGAGCAACTCAGCTGAAAAACAAAAAAGATTTACTTAAATTTAATTAAACTTTATCTGCTCTGTGGTCACTGTGCCTACATTATCAAGCGGCAATCTCAAGACGTGCTTCGCTTGTTGTAAGTGTAGTAGTAATCAAAATGAGAATCATACAAACAAATGTACAGACCTACATACATACAGACATACTTACATAATATGTACAACAATCATCGTATAAGGCTGCTTGCGCGGGGAACTTGAAAAATAAGGATGTGCAAAGGACCTCATAAATTTGTGGTGCGTTGCCTGATTGCTAATGACTCGATCAACAAACACCACCTCTTAACATAAAGAGTATAAAATTATAGAGCTTCGACAAAGCCAAAGGGGTGGACTTTAATCATAAATTGAACATTTTGTAAAAGAAAATAGACATTAAAAATATACTCAACTTTTGAATAAGGTGGGTAGCAACAAACTCCTTTTTAACCTGAAAATAAATTTCGTCTTCAAAATCTCTATGCGATCGTATTTTTAAGCTGAGCGTAAATTTTTTATAATAAAACGAACTATCCTTCGGATTGAGTGCTTACGACCAGCAGTGAGTCTGAAGAAGCAAATATTCTTCTAATTTAATGAGTTCGTATATTTTCCTAACTGCCCTATTTTGCTCTTCGCTCAAAATAACGGCGGCAGCATAAAAAATCGGCCATTGCAGAAGTCATAAACCAGGCTAACAAATCGTTCCATGCTAAGCTGTACATATGTATGTACATATGTATTTAAAACCTTCCTTCATACATACATAAATATACATATTTTTTCATCGTCTTTGAACATTTGACCAACGTGGGTAGTGAGAATTTTTCATTGATTCTTTTTACCACCGATTTCCATATATTTAGGAAATTATTTAACAAAACAATTGTGGCATTCCATTCCCATTTCAATGCACATACATAAGTACTGACAAATGCATATTGTCACATACTTCTATATAGGTATGTATGTATGTATACTTAGTAAATATTCCGAACTCTTGAATGAATTAAAATAAATAACCTGGTTGATCTCCTATGGAATTTAATTTTCTTTTGGCGGCGTTCATAAACGTACGGGAATACCAACAAATCACCAGAAATACCTAAAAACGACACCAAATCCCTGACAGCGGTTCATTAATCTTTAGGCCTGAAAAAAGTACTTGTTTACTTGTTTACTTTGTACAGCTCAAACTTGGGATTCAATGAAAAAGTTCATCATACAGTAAAAAAAAAATAAAATAAAAATCTCAAAGAAATCGCTTGGCAACAGCCAGTTGATATCGAGATTGAGCACGAACTCGCAGGCCAAAAGAAATGGCAAGGCAATATTCACAACAGCAGCAGTAACATGACCAGTGACAGCAACGCACTCGCAACGATACCGGCTTTGACACGGTCACTGGAATGTCTTTGATCCCATCAAAAAAGTCATGAATGCGCCGACTCTTTGGGTTGACGCGTTGCTCTTGCTCCCTCTGGTTCTGGCTGGTTGGTTAGCTATGCCTGCCTGCCGCTGTGGCGGTAGCGCCATCGACACTACAAAAATAAGCAACAACACCTTCAACAAGCAACCAACCGGACCCGCGGCGAGCACTGAGCTGCAGCAACAGCGCCAAAAACGCGTTTATCTGTCTGTCGGTGCGCCGCCGTCGTCGTCCAACAGCCGCCTGTCAAATTCAGAAGAAAAAGGTATTAAGATCATGCGATAAGATCAATGTTGCCACGGCGTGGAGCACCACTATTAACAGCTACAGTGAGAGCTGAGAAGGAAACAACAACAAAGACAATAGCAAGTATCACGTAGCAAGCCTATAGGCACCAACGAAGGCAGCAGCAAGTCCCGAAAAATGGAAGTAAACAAGCCGACAGACAAGCAGTAATATGCTATACAAAACCCATAAACAAAAAAACAAGAAAAAAAACTAGAAAAAAAAATTAAAATTTTAAGAATGGAAAATGAGAAAAGAAGACCGAAGAATGGAGTATGAGATCAAACACAAAAACACCACGGGTATCCCTTCCTGTGCTACGTTCAGCACGCTCAATAAAATGCTATACAAGGTGTCAGATTTGTCGCCCTTCATTACCACTGCCGACAACAACAATAATAAACGGATAAAGATAACAATGCCCACAACTGGCATACAATCAGCAGCAGCGGCACAGCTAACAGAAAAAAATAAAAATAAAGAATACAAAAAATACGTGGTGGCTCTAAACCGCCATCAACAACAAAAAAATTCCACGGAATCGATACTGTTAAACGTATAGAACAACGTGTCGCCACATAGCCTTAGGCCAAGAAGGAAACAGCGGCGTTATCGCCGCCGCAACCAAAGTGGAGCCACCGCCAAGGTTGTTTGCGCCATTGAGATTGTTCGCGGTCGTCGACGAAATGCAAGGATTTGCGCTTAATCAGGCGTATACGATCGCGCGCGCCCAGCCACGCCATTGGAATGCATAAAAATTGGTCGTTGCTGGAATTCTTGTGGCGCAGCGAAAAACAACGAAAGCCGCTTTGCCTTGCCACTCTCGGTTGACTTATTTGGCCTTTACAGTGGCGCGGCGCGGCGCGGCGGTCGGCGATCACTGGTTGTTTTGTTGGCACCCACTTCTACGCTGTGACGTTCATTCTCGACTCAGCTCATTGCCAGATCAACGCCAGCGATCACAAATGACCTGCAGCGAATTGTGCGAATCGTGGTACGCCAGATAATTTGCTGGTAAAATATGCCACAACGACTACGCGCATACATAAAAATATAGGTGCATTGTTAAAAAAAAAAAGAGTTACTAAAAATGCCGTGCTTCTCCGCCCAATTTCGCATTCTGAATGCGTTAACAACCCGTCGTTAGTTAGTTAGTACCAACCTCAATGCTGACCGGCAGTCAATCTCGCAACTAGACTCGCCCGACAAACCATTGAAGCCATTCAGTAGGCTACTGGCCTAAAGGACCTCAAGCGCTGAAGGCAACGTCAGGGCTTGCATTTACCGGCGTTGTAAAGGTTGTTTAGTGGCGTGATTTGCAATCAGCGATAAGCCACGCTATATATGTATGTACATATGTATGTATATACGTATACATATATTGCCCCTGTATAAATGAGGGTATGTACATACGCTCAGTGTTGCCAGATGTGGGGATTTCGCCACATTTTGGGAACTTCTGAAACCATTTGGGGATAGATTTTTTCGTTTGGGGAAGGGGGCATTTTTGTTTGGTTTAAAATTTTTCTAACGAAGGTTTCTTTGCAAAACAGTAATTAAAATGAACTAACAAAAATGAGAATACGTATTTTTTTATTTCTCACTAGCAGACCTATTCTGCTTGTTACCGAACATTTTGACACCGGGAAATTTTGTTACCAAAAAATGACCAAATTTCTTGTAACCGCAATTCTAGGTACCCTGGTAACGTGTCAATTTATTCAGCAATTCAGCTATGAAGTTTTGTAGAAATTCTGGTGTAGCATATTTCACAGGGCAATATTTTCTTATCTGCTTATCAGATGGTAACAAAATTTACCAGTTACAATAGTGCGCAGAATACGAAAAAAAACGGTTTAAAAATTGACAGGAACTTTATTCACCGATAACAACATGTTTGTTAACAACACAGAATAGGCCTGTAAAAGGGATTTAAATGTGGGTTAAAATAAGGGGATTTTTTGGGGATAACTGCGGCTCGATATGGGGATGCGGTACAAAAATGTTCTGGCAACACTGCATACACTTACCAGCAGTCATTGCCTCCTTTTCGTCCATGCAAGTACTAAGTGTGCCGCACGATCAGCTATTTGCCTATCGGTGCAATTTACCCAACATCTCCGTCGAGGCACGTCTACCTAAGGAAGAAAGGCGGACAAGCATCATGACAACAACAGGCCTGTCCAGCCTGTCCAGCCTGCATGGCAGACGAAGTGGCAGACAAAGCGGCGAGCCAGCGATCGCTTATATGGAATTTGAGTTAATACTATTATGTACATACATACAATACAATTGATATTGTTGTTGTCGTTGTTATTGTTATTGTTGTTGGTATTGTTGTTGGTATTGTTGCTCTTCGCATACAACGTCATTAAGTCTACGCTTGTGCGCTCATTCAATGAAGCATTTCCACGTACTGTACCGCTTCGGCTTCCTGCTGTTTCATTTAGTTTTGGGAGCCGCCGGGCCTCACGTAGCGCACCAAATTACAGACAATAACCACACTAATTTCCTTCACTTGTTTACCTGCTTTTATTCATTCACTTCCTTCCTTTGGCAGCGAGCAGAGATGAGGTCCGTTGGTTAAACCGAAAACAAGAAAGTAATTGGTAGAATTCCTACTTATATACATACGCAAATGCATGCATAAATACACACATATGCACGTACATAGCTATATGTATATGTATGCATCTGCATAATTGCATTCCAGCCAATTTGTATGGCCTTTCTTAAGTACATACATACCTACATAGTTTGTATGTATTTGGGCGTAAATGTCTTCTATTGTTTGAGCTCTTTTCTTGCTCATCGTGCTGTTGTTTACTGTCAATATCGATCTGCAATGCACAGACTTAACAGTGCCTGGTGGCCTCCGACGTGTTCTCACCTGCAGCGGCCTGTGTGTTATCTATCCTATTTGTATATATGTATGTATGCATATTTGCAGTCTGGCTTATCCGCTTCTATTCCAATGCACATCTGTCCAATTGTTTCTGGTTGCCTTAATTCCTAGAGTTGCGACTGTTTCAAATGTACAAATATATGTATGTATATATATATTTACTCACGCATTACTAAAGAAATAATATATGTACATATGTATATGCACATATGTACTTATGTATGTATGTACGCATATTCATGAACGCTTAGTAATACAAATCTCTCTTTCTAAATGCCTACCACCACACCTACCTAGTATGTAGACGCACTAAGCGATAAATATTCGACTTAAGCCTCGAACGTGACGTGGGATTTTGATCACCATTGTATCGTCGAAAGGTTCTTTCATACACACTTGTCTACATACATACATATGTACATGAAGCATGCACAATGCCATATATCGATGCACCTACGCGCGGACAAAACGATCCGGCTGGCTATCACCCGACACACGATTCCAGCACTCGGGCATTATTTATCCGATTTGCGATTTGTGATTCATTCATTCATAAGTTAACCTTTTATGTTTATGTACAAGCAGCGGTCCTCAGACTCGTTACGCCAATTTTTATATGTATCTTCTTTTTTAATTTTATGGATTTCCCTTTGGTGTGTGAAGCCGAATTCCATTTAATTGCTGACAGTTTCTTAATTTGTCTAATCTTTTAATGCCTTTTGTTAATTCATCTGTCTCATATTTTAATTTTTTTTTCACCTTTGTTCATTGCAGATACGGACGTCTCTTTGGATGTGCCTGCCCCGGTTAATATCGAAGAGGAGGAGCGCAATATGAAGCGTAAGTATTTTTTCCCTCGCAATTGTATAATCTTTCTTTACTCGCTCTCAACGTCTTTGATAACTAATTAATAAATATTGCAATCCGCTTACTCTTTCCTAACAGATTTCGCAGCTCTACTCACCGGCAGGACATCACATTTCCTGAAAGGCGAGGAGATGAAGGCCATGTATGCGACTAGCACCTTCAATCCGCAAAATATTGTTGCCACAGGCCGCTTCTTATTCCACAAGAAGAATCTCTATTACTCGTTCTACACGTCGTCGAAAAATAATCGCCCGCGTACCATTCAATTTGTCAACGACGTTGGCACCATTCTCGAGGAGCATCAGCTGCAGACTCCACTCTCTGATACACAGAGCGTGTATCAGAATGCGACTGGTAAGATCTGTGGCGTTTGGCGTCGTGTTCCTCGTGACTATAAGCGTCTACTGCGTGACGAACGCTTACACGTTGTATTGCTGTGGGGCAAGAAGGATCAGATTGATCTGGCTCTCGGTGGTAAGATTGGCAAGTACACTGCTCTGCAAACGGAGTTATTCAGCTCATTGTTGGAGCCTTCACCGGGCACAAAGCCCGCTTTATTGAATGGCGCTGGCGGTACAGCTATAATCTCGACAAGCAGTGGCGCCGCCGCTTCCGTTCATTTGACCCTCGTCTTTAATGGTGTATTTGGGGCCGACGACTATTTGGATAGTCCGATCAATATACGCGTTGAGTCGCCCGATCGTAAGGAAATCGTGTTGGATGAAGTTCAAAAAGTACGCAAGCCTTCGTCTGAGATCAATGTAATGGAAATATCTTCACCCATTTCCATACCGATGTTGCGGTTGATGTCACGCGGAAAACTGCTACTCACAATCGAATCTAAGAAGAACCCTCACCTACGCATACAGGGTCACATTGTCACTCGCACAACATGCGAACTCTTCCAGACGTTGCTCACACCACACAATGCGGAGTCGAAGACGAAGAGCAGCGGCCTGGCCTGGGTCTTCCTCAACACCGATGGTTCTCTTTCGTACAACATCGAAACCGATAATATTAGCACTAAAGACAGACCCGAAATCAATCTTATGGAAGATTTGGGTAAACGCAGAACGATGCTGGAGAACCTTACACCAACGTTCAACTTTAACCAAGCCATAGGCACCATCGACAAATTGGGTCCGAAAGCACTTGAATCTCTATATACTGGCGATCTGGGCGTCAACATAGCCATCGAGAACGAGCCGAGTCTCATTCGCGGCCACTTTGTACCACGCCCCGTTGCCGATGCTCGGGACTCTGCTGAACCAATCCTACTGAAACGTGTTGAAAATTCTACAACTGCCCCAGTTCACGCCATGGGCATGGCTTGGTTGGCCATCGATAACGAATGTAACCTGCACTACGAACTCACTGTGAATGGTTTTCAATCAAATCCTCAGGATTTGCAAATATACCTCGAAGAAAAGCCAATCGAAGCTATTGGAGCACCGGTGACACGCAAACTACTTGAGGAGTTCTCCGGCTCCTACATGGAAGGTTACGTGCTCGGCATGCCCTCCAGCGACCTCGTCAAATTGGAGAACAGTGTATGTTACCTGGAAATCCATTCGAAGGAGAAGAGTGAGCTCATGTTGCGCGGCAAGTTGAAATCTACGAAGGTACCATCGCACTGTTTTCCCGTCCACACGGATAACAATGTACCGAATGTGCCTGGTGACCACAGCGACAGCAATCTGATTGCACCGGGCGCTAAGTGTTTCCATTCCGGTCGCTTCTATGATGAGTCCGAGCAATGGCGTAACGCGAATGATGTTTGCCAAATGTGCGCATGTCAGCGCGGTCAGCCCACCTGCGAACCCATCAAATGTCCAGCTGTGCAGTGCAAACCCAACGAAGAATTGGTGCGACGAGAGGGCGAATGTTGTTCAATGTGCATACCGCAAAATGTAGTCATTGAAACGGAGAAAACGGTAGAACAGACCGCACGCGGCTGTCGTTTGGGAGACCAATTCCACCTGGCCGGCGCCATTTGGCATCCGTTCTTGCCACCAAACGGCTTTGACACATGCACCACCTGCACTTGCGATGTGCTGACACTGGAGGTGCGTTGTCCACGCATGGTGTGCCCGCCTCTACCCTGCTCCGAGAAGATCGCCTACCGTCCGGACAAGAAGGCTTGTTGCAAGGTGTGTCCTGAAAGCAAATCCTCACGTGGTGGCGAAAAGGCCGGACCCTCCAACCCCAACGTACTGCAAGATCAGGGATCGCATAAGACAACATCTCCGGAGGAGATCCTAAGTCAAGGCGGCTGCAAGGTATTAAATAAGATATACGAAAATGGACAGGAATGGCATCCGATTTTGGCATCACATGGAGAGCAGAAGTGCATCAAATGTCGCTGCAAGGTAAGTCTGCGTGTACACCACACAACAAGAAGATGGTATCTAATTAACACATTATTAATTTTCCTCTCGTTTCATAGGACTCTAAAGTGAATTGCGATCGAAAGCGTTGCTCACGCTCCACCTGCCAGCAGACGCGTATCTCGGCTAAGCGGAAATTCTATGAGAAACCCGGCATTGGTGGAGGCAACGAGCCGGTCATCGACGAGTGCTGCTCAACGCAGTGTAGACGCTCGCGCCGCCACCACAGACGCACACACCAGGAGCGCCCTAGTGCCGCCGACGATCGGCAACAGCAGTCGAAACGGGTGCAACAGCAAGCGAATCTTAACCGCAGCGGCAGCAACAACCATAGCAGCTGAGCGCCAAAGTCAGGTCGTCGCAATCATTCAGAACACACATACACACATAATATCGCCCGAATATCACAGAAGATAAAAGAATAACAAAATCGCAATTTTCTTCTAAAGAAAATGCGCGCCCTTTGTAACTTTCTTGAAACCAGGACTGAAAATGAATGAGGCGAACGAAGCGTTGAAAACAATGGAGAGTAGCACTGACAAAAAATTACATAAATAAGAAATATGTACATACATACATATATGAGTATGTATGCAATAAAAGGGATCGGATATTTGCCAACAAAGCCGCCAGCAAAATGACATATGTAGATACATATTTACTTAAAAAAACGAAAGCAACTTTTTGTATTTTAACAACATTATCCACAGATAGCAGATAAAACAGAAATGCAGTTGGAAGAGCGAATAGTGCGCCAGTTGTATGGAATATAGTCCATGTAGAGAGAGTATGGCTAGTAACTATTTTAGAGATGTGCTAGCGGAAGCTATTTAAAAAATATTTATGAATTACCTTAAGGACACCAGTGCAGTTGCTTCAAAATTGTATAAAACGTTTAATTTTAACAAAAGGATTTCATTTCCAAAATGCCGTCGCAGCAGCAGTTGCTGAGCTGAGAGTAAAATTCTCTGGAAATAAATAGTTCTAGTAGAATGATAATAGACGATTGCTGACCGAGAATTGTAAGCAAATATTAAGGCAACGAGTTAGCGGCAAAGTGCGATAGAGGGTGGCAGAGAGAGAGACAGTGCAAAAATGAGAAACACATCCCAAACGTTTCGACTGATTGACTGAATGGCATAGACTAAGTAAAATAAACTTACAAAAATGCTAAAAAAAACAAAAACAATGAAATATACATACATATATATATTTGTTTTTTATATACATTAAATTAAATATATATATACTGATGCGAGGACATGCACACATGCATACACATACGTATTTACTATGTATATACATACATACAAATATCTACATACAGACATACATACATATATATATATTTTATGAAAACCACCACTGCTACGTCCCCACAAAGTTGTCCAATCGGCAGTGTAAACGTTTCTTCATTAATATCGATGATCAATCGAGATCATAAATTTTTCTGTAACTAGTATTTTCAATGCGCAGGCGCTTGGAATTGAGACCACTTCGACCCTGCGCGAAAGCGAATACAAACAATTCTGTTCGTAACACGCCGTTTTTGGGAGAGACGTGGACAAGTGGCTGGCGTTCTCTGGCAGAAGGCAGCTGTTGAGCAATTTCATTGAGCAAGACATATATGTACATGCATATCGTTAGTATATGTAGTATGAAAAGGGCGAATCTCACATCGTCGCTGAAATGGTAATTCAGAGGGCTGCATAAATTCATTCAAAACGGCTTGTGAATTATTCATATATTAAACGAATGAATGCTTTTGGCTTCATTTTTTTTTTTTATTTGAGTGAATACCTGTTTTGATATATGAGTCGATATTACAATATTCAAACAAATTAAAAATAAATTGAATTGAAATAAATAACAATTTTTTGCATGAATATCCAAAAATATTTTTTTTTATGTACATATCAGTGTACTGCAGCAAGCTACTTGAAAGCTTACTTATATTCACTGGGCTTGGTTCTAAACAAGCAAGTCAATGCTTGGCTTTTGTGTTTTATATGTGAAGTAAAATATTCAAATATACTGCACTCTGTTTGGCTAGATGTTTGAATGAATTCATGCAGTCCTCTAAGGGTAATCAATCAAAAGGATTAATTTTGGATTCGTAGATAGTGTGAGTTACGCCATTTCAATACTGTACTAACGATATGTATGTACATATATATGTATGTACATTTGGCATATACATATGTTCTTACATTAGAAAGGCTGGTTTTTACTATGTCATATTTTGCCGCCAAAATTTGTTGTCATATCTTGGCACAACCTTATCTCCTTCATCCACCAAACCTTTACTGATGATATTAGGGCCAAAAAAAGACTGATAGCCGATTTAGCTACGGACGACTAAAGACCTATGTATACTGATGGAAATCAATCGATATACCGCATTTTAGTCCCATTTGGAAATGTGTTTCCACTTATTTGCGACAAATGCCATTGAATTTGACATAGTGAAAACAAGCCTTAACACATCCATACATACATATATACATAGATACATGCGCACACGCACACAAATCCACACACACACACACACGCACACGCATAAGTTCCCTCATTATATTTGATTATTATAATTATTATTATTTACTCGTACAACTGACGACTTGCGCATTTTCACCATATAACTGTATTAATATTTTATTAGTTATTATAATTGTTACGATTATTGACATCATAATTGTATATTTTAATTTTTTAATTTTTATTTTTTATTTAAATAAATTTTGTGTTAATTGTAAAAGTGAAACAAAGAAAAAAGAGCAACTGCAAAGTTTTACCTAAAATTAATTATATACATACATATAGTTGTTTTGTCTTAGGTTATAGACTTTTATTATTATTATAATTTCTGGTTAACTTTTTTGTATCATAAAAACAATTGCACTTGCTTAGAAAAAAATAAATTTTGTATTGTAAAAAAAAATGTGAAACTATTTTTTTATGCTGAGTGAACATTTTCCTTCCTTTGCCTACGCCAAAGTTACGTAGAAAGTTTTCATTCGCCTGTGGAAATTAAGTGGTTGATTAGCCGTTTTTTATTTAACTAATAAGCGGTATGTATATTCAGCTATAGAAAATATTTCAATTAGTAATTTGTTTAAATCGCTTTTTATATTTAGTATATTTTGGAAAAAATAACCTTAGAAAAATATTACATTCAATGAACTAAAAAAAAAAACAAAAAACAACTCGACTCGTTTATACACTTGAATTTGTTAGTTACATGGTTTTCCTCGTGTAGCTATCGCAAAATTAACAACACCTATGTATATATACATACATATATGCATAAATGCTGCAAAGTGTTTTTCTACTATCGTATTGTATTATAATTTGAGAATATTATTAGTTCCAAGTGAAAAATCGATTATGCAGACCTCTTAATATTATTTATTTACAAAGTGCCTATACATACACTACACACTTAATATATTGAAGAAAAACTAACAAATATACATACTATATTGAAAAAGAAAATAAAAACAAAAACAATACAGAAAAATAAAAAATTTGAAACAAAACGAACAAACCTTAAAAATCCAACCACAATGGTTTTTTTCTTCAAGCAACAAAGGGATTTTAGAATCAGTCGCTTAGTCCGCATGGTTAGAGGTGTTTTTGTTAAGTTAAGTGGAACTAGTGATAGAACGATACGAGTACCAAGTACGGCATATGTATTATTTTCTTGAGTACTGAGTATTATCGAGAACTCGATAGTTTTTAACTGTACTGAGTACTGAGTAAGTATGGCAAATACCGAAGAGTATCGACGGGTAAAAGATTTTCTTATTCAGTTTTACACACCACTAATAAATTTTAGTGGTAAATTATAAAAATGGAAACAAAAAAAGGTTGAAAAACTACTTGTCGTCACCTGCAATGGAAAAGACTTTAATTGAAATTTTATAGAAGAAGCAACAAACTTTTTTAAATTAACAGGATTTGCTTACTGGGCTGTTCTAAACATGCCAATAAATGTCGTATTTTTTAAGTTATTCAGATTCCTCTCTGCCACTCACTTACTCGAAGAGAAGTGGGTAGAGAAGGTTGCCATCAGAGCCAGCCTCAGTATGCACCAATCAGTTTCATCAGGAATGAATACGAGGTTTCAAAAGATCGTTGATCACCCGTCCCCCGGGTTAAATGAAAACCCAGAGCTCTTAGCTTGACGGCGGATCGGTTTACGGTGGCCTTGCTTGCAATGTTAATAGGTATGAGTAGGATTGATCCGGAGTGCCCCACTGATTCAAACAAGGGCATTCGGAGCGCCTTGCACGCGTTCTAACTTCTTAACTAATGTATAATAAGTCTAGCGAATTCAACCGTACATCAAAATTGGCTAGAGTTTGGTTTTATACAGCCAGAAGAATATGCCTTTTTCACTCGCTCCTTAAAATTTTACTATCAGGATAGCTTCCTATCCAGCATACCGCCCAAGTACTTGACCCTGTCAGAAAGTACTAGAACGCCACCGATCGAGGTAAGCTCAGCACGGACCCCCTATACTTTCTGGCGAACGGGACGAGCTTCGCCTTACCAAGATTAATAACAAGTCCACAATCTAGTTTGTGAATTGATAAAGTAAGCTCAAACCCAGAGAATAAGTTTCAGAAGTTCATTACTAAATACTGATACATAGTCGTGATTCCATACCACTTGTGAATCTGTCAATAGTACTCGTATGTGGTGTGTTTCCCTGGTGTCGGACCTGACATTCGTGAGACTTTACAGTTAAATAAATAATACGAAAACGAAAGTCACTCGTAAAAAAATGCCGTTGTGTAGCTTTTATACTGTCCTTTGGATGACAAAAAAATTAGGTGCGCTTGGATTACTGTTGTTGAGAAAATCGATGAAAAGGAGGTCATAACGAATCTGACTAAACCGAAGTGGTTTCAGAGTACCTGTAAAAATAAGCAAAACTCTGTGAATCCTGTGAGGTTATCCTTTCTTAAACATTATTTAAATAAAGTCAAATTACGGACCATTACAAAGTATTCATATTTAATCAGAAGCAATTTCGAAATTAAAATCCGACAACAGACGTGGCATATCGGACGAGACAGATTTCTCCCCCATACAGTATATTCACCAATAATACATATCGTCGTTTAAAGTACAAAACCGCGTATCGTGGTTCTCCCAAACCTCTTTACCGACAGTTGTGCCAAAAATTATATTTGTTACCGGAAGCTCCTGACATCAAGCTTTATTCATTCAAACCAAAATATTGATATTTATATACATATATGTATGTATATAAAAGGTAAAGATAACTGGGGATGAAAGAGAGAACCGCTTTGAAATAAAACAGGTTTACTCTCCTCTGTGAAATATTCGTGACCTCCCTTAAGAGCAGGGATGACAACTTTCTCAGAATCACTGTCAACACCAAAAACACAAACAACTAGTCAACCGCTCGGCCAATTATTTGCTCGTCTTTTATTTTAGCAGAGCGGTTTATTGATCAAACTTGCACAGCTAAGGGGCGCTTTCACCATCTCTGGGTGAGACTAATCCCTAGTTAATCACCATTGCCGACGTTACCGACACAATGTTATATGCATGGAGTCAGTCGTGTAGGTAACGAGGGGAAGCTTTGAGCTTCGATTATTTAGGCAGTAGCAGGTAAGCTTTTTAGCTATTTGCTATTATCTAATTAAACAAAGTGTTAGCTGCTTTGTCGTGCAGTGGAAGCTGAGCCATTGCCAAACATGAGATTAATCATACATGAATACATACGTACATATGTATGTATGTGCGCGTATGTAAATATATTTAAATAAATATGCGGTCTCAGCCGAACGAGCGTGTAAACAAGTTGTGACAATGTCAATATTTGCGATAATATATGTACTTTATTTTCTGTCATTTAATTTTTTATCTCCATCTATGGCTCTGTTTTTTTTATATTCTCATTCTCATACATACGTATATGCACAAGTGCATACATGAATATACTTTTACTGTTATACATATATATGTAGATACATATCGCACGCGATCTTCAAAGATGACACAACTCAAAATTACACGTTCCTCAGAATATACGAAAAACTATTTCTTAGCCCACGCTAATCACTTGGGCAAGGAAGACTTAACGCTAGGTTTTTTTCAAAAAATTATAGAAAAAATTTGCGCCAGCTTTTGCTAAAAGGTAAA